ACCAGTCAATTAGATGCCAAGGTAAAATAATTTCGCTCTAAAGCATCGCAATTTTTTATCTTATTCTACAACTACGTATACATACGTTACATTAAGTAGACTAATTAATCAACTAGGTATCAAAATAGCATTTGGCCACGAATCGATAGGATACCATAATTTTCAACATCATTTTCTTACAAACATATTAAATCAATTAAACAATAAAACATAGCAAGTTTTAATCTTTCTACAAACGAGAGATACTTCGATAATTATACTAAACTTCTCTTTCATTGAAATAAAGTTAACCCGGGGAAACCGTATAAAGGAGCCTGTTATTTAATTTACAGATGCGACTGTAATCACGAGTGAGGACGCCCTCCAAGGGTACGACCCCCAGTTCATGGTTGGCTGTTATTTCCCCGCGGAATTTCAGGGTGAATTCGTGACGCAGGTGAGCGGAAAGGAAGCCAGCGACACGAGCAACGAGCCCATTCAATATTCCACCATCAACATCACGTTCAACGCGATCCCCGTATGGGGCTACTGCCACAGGAGGATCGGCGATAACGTGTTGCTAATGGACAGGTGGGTCTACCTAGAAATCACCGAGTAATTTATTCCGACGACCGCTAGTCGCTACGATTTGCCCCTGTTCAGCGATAACACTTTGTCCGTTTCCGGTAACCGCTTGACCCTAACGCGGTAATGGTAATTGCCAGTTGCCTGAATCCGATTGGTAACAGCAAGTTAATATCTGTAAATGTGAAGATAAATTATTCTAGGAGAAGATCTTGGTTCTGGACTTAACAACCGTAGACAGTTGTATAAATTGTGAAGAATTTATGTTTAGTCTGCAAGCAGGCGTAGTTCTATGAAAGTCAGGCTGTAACTAAATCCGTAACTGATTGTGAGTTACGGATTGCACGCTTACTTAATGCATCCTTAGGGACAGGGATGCCCCGACGTGTCTGCAGCGTGTCTGGGATGGAAATAGTCCAGATCTCAGACGGTGTCGGCCTGCACTTTCTTCTTTCCCAGCTATAATTGTACCTGAGATGTAGTTAGAATTATACAAACACATTTTATTAGATTTACAAGGGTTGAAATCTATCTAGTCGTAATTAATTTGCGTTTATCAAATTTTATTTTCACGCTGCAAGTACTTTTTGATTAATGTAAGAAATAGATCAGGAGATTGATAATCCAGAGTATTTTTATCCGTTGTTATTCTTCTCTGAACATTATAGAAAGTCAATTGCATTTATTTCAGATACGGTGATGGCGACTGCATCCGATGCTTCCGATTGTTAAGGAGATCACGCAACATTATTGAGGTCTTCTCTGAAGATCTGAACAGGTGCTATACTTCAGAAGCCACTGCTTTGGCCTCCTGTGATAAATTAAATTCTACGTCCGTTTTATATCGTAAGTATAACAATTATAAACATCTACGTATAAGAACAGTTCTGAAATATTTATTATTTAATTGCTTGATTGTTTGGATAGGTACCAGGGAGATTGGAAATATCCCCATAAGAAACGAGTATTGTCCAATAACTGGCCAGTATCACTTCACGTATAATCTCAATAATGGATCTGATAAAGTCATCGAGTGTAATAGCTTCTCATCTTCCTTCAACAATTGTCCTGATGGCTCTGTTTTAAGATTACACTTCAATCGTTGTAGCTTCGAGTCTCACAGTAATTTTCTTCCTAATATTCTTGTTATTTCCTTTCTTAGGATTTTAAATATGTTCAAAGGAGAACTTATTTGTTGTTATTTATTTTTCAGTGAATATTACGTTTAATTGCTTAGGCAACTGGCCTGGTCCAAACGGTTCTACTTATTTTGCCCTGATGGACATCAGTGGCAACTATGAAGGCAGACCACAGTATAGATGTGGAGTAAGTTGAAAATTTATTTTGTCTTTTCAATTGAGGTATATAATATGTTTCTTTAACTAAAGGATCTATTCTTTAGCTATTTCATGTTGACAATAAAAAAGGAAAAACATACATGGCTCTCAGCAGCGATTCCAGCTGTGCACAGAATTTAGATAATTCCACTAGTGGATATGAGACACTAGTCCTTAGTAAAATTCCAAATCAAAAGAAGATGCCAAATTATGTGAAGACTCACGTAGCAACGTTAGTATATTTTCTTAATTTTTTTTTTATTTACGATTTAGCATCGCATCGACATTTAGATCATTTAGCGACGAGTATTTTCTTTATAGTATCCACTGATTAAGTGTTTCCGATGGTTTCGTAGTCTTTTAATAATTTTCTATTAGACTTAATTAATTAATTAAAGGCTATTGTTGATTTAGATTTCCAAAATGGGCACAGGGTGTATGGGAAGAATCTCTGATTGTCAATGGCACCATGACTTTCACGGATCTTAATGGCTATAATAGTTACACGTTCATTACCGTTGATTCGAATGAAGAAACTGGCCGCTACATCGTTTATTCCAAAAATCAATGGTGGGATAGGACATTAATCGAATAATATTAAAATATTATTTTACTCTAAAATAATAAAACTATTTTCAGTGAACAAGTGGCATATGTGTGTTTAATGATGAGGCAACGAAGTGAAAATGTACTAGAATTTGCAATAGGTATTTAACTTTTAGATAATTATTTCAGACGCCCACAGATATTAATGAAATTATTTAATCGGCTAAATATAATCAATTTTTCATACAGGAATGGTGTTAAGTCCAGTTTATCAATCTTATTTGTGTGACGATACTAATTTGGATAAACCTGTTTGGATGACACAAGCACGTAAGTTAATTTCAAAGAAAGTAGATGTAAATTATATATTTCAAAAAAAGATCATGATATTAGATCAAATGCTATTAAAATTAGGAATTGAACGTGCGGTAGAATCGCCTTGTCCAATTACTGGACAATATATGGGTATGATAACTGACCTATCAGGCATGTGTGCTGAACTAAGCAGCAACTGCAATACTCGTGAAATAATGTACTTTAAAGTTACTGACTGTGAGTCTGGAGAACTCTATGAAGGTACTTACTTAAATAATTTAATTAATCTAAATTCATTGAAACCAAAACTCGACAAAAGAATTTATATTTCAGAACGAGCATACTTGTGTCTAGGTCAATGGGAAGAAAAAGGTGTTATGTACGCATATACTATGAGAAACGATACCAGTACCAATGAATGTTTTGTTGGTTTAATCGTGAATGATGAAGAAATCTATATCAAGGAAGCGGGCGATCATTGCATGAGAAATATTGATCCTAAGAAAGAAGGAATGCGTCTATATAAGAAAGGTAGGTTCCTAAAGTGGAGTCTACATTAAATCAATATTCAATCTCAAATAGTGATTACATGCATAGTGATTTAATGTAATCAGGTCAGTGTTACGGAAATTCTCCAAGTCCTGCACCAACGCCAATGAAACCAATTCCTCATAATCCAATAATGAAAACTGCTACAACTCCGCGGTCGAAAGTATCAGGTAGAAATAATATTACTTACATTCATTGATTAACAATATTGTATGTTATAGAGTTTATAATACAATTGATTATTTTGTCATGATACCAGGTACCACCAGTATATCAGGAAACAATATCCCATCATTTGCCTCACATAAAACCACTGCATCTTATGGTTTTGTAATGTTCATAATGGTAATCGCGTTTTTTAGAAACATTTATATGTACGTTTGAGTACCAAGTCATTAATAACGAACAATGAGCTAGTGAATGAATGCCGCTATGGGATATAAAACAAGAAAATTTTATTGTCTTAAAACAGAGTCATAACACTTTTCTTAATTTTATTAAGATGAAACTAAATGATCAAGGAAGTAAATATTATACATGAAGTACATTTAGAAAATGCCTATCCTGCTGAATGATTTCATCAGGAAAAAATAAGTATTTAAATACTTTTTATTATTGATATTAATGTGTTCCCTTGGCAAACACCATTCTAATTTACTTTGCATTTGAGAGATGCTTTTAACAAAAATTTCTGTAGATACATAGAACTTTGTTATATTTCAAATCTCCACCAAACACTGCCTTGTAAGATACAAGTAATAGTAAACTGTATGTTGCTAGGAGAATCCAAAGAAGTTTATATACTTTCTGATTATAACACACTTTTCATAATGGTTTTTTACTAAATCAATCATGTAGATGAACTTACTAATGAGACTGACTGAATTAATAACACTGTACAGAAAGATTCACCAATAGGAAAATATATATTTTTTTCAAATTTGTACTTAAAATAAGAAACTAACACTATTTTTTTCTCGTTGAAATAAATATGTTATAATCTACATCGAATGAAATGAATGAAAATTACAAACTTAAAGCAATATACAAAATAAGAAATATGTTATCATTCTTAGGGTAATACAATTTATTCCCTGTGATTATTTGCAAAAAAAAATAATTTTTAAATAATTCACGATAAATTTTACACTTTTTATATAATTGTTAAATTAAATTTAACATCGATTTTTGCAATTAACACAAGCAAGTGTCATACTTGTACCTAAAGTAGAATTTTTACAAATAAGTATTGTGTGAAGTGTTTTACACATTTATAGAATGCTTTTATATATATGCAATTCATTTTTATATTTATATTGTAAATGTATATAAATATGTATTTATAAATTTATACCTTAATGTATAGAATTAATAGTACAGTAATATTTACAATGTAGATAGTACTTCTCCAGTCATGCTGTGTATAAACTTAAACAATAAGTCCATCAGATGCCAAATTATTAACTTCATTCATTGCCAGTTCTCTAACATTAACAATTACTTTTTAACTTCAGCATTTGTAACACTTATTATTTTGACATCTGAAAGGCTTGTATACTAAAGAAAATTAATTATATCACAAAATTTCACAAAAATACATACATAAATTTATTCTTGAACTTTTTTTGACATTTATTTTATATATTGCTAATTGAACAGTTTAATATTTTGTAAATTAACACAAGATATTTAAAAAATTCTTAAGGTGCATTTTTTTATACAAAACAGTTACATATATCGATAACTATCTAAATTGAAATATAAAATTACACAATTTTATTTATGTTTAATTTATACTACCATCTTAGAATTATTGTGAATGCTGAAGACCATCCTAGTATCATAGTGTTCCTGTTACTGTGTGCAAGAGTGCAATGGATTTATCATTACAGCTTAAATTATTAATTACTTTAAGTGTACATAAATTATACTGCATACTTGTATTTAAAGATAATAAAAATAATTTTTAATGTATAAAAATAAACAATTTTCTTTTTATATTATCCAGTGTCTATTTTACATAATCTATGCAAATATCAGGAAATTTTTGGTGCCTAAATTTTTATATTTATATATACTACGAAATAAACAATTCGTAAGTAACAGAACTTATAAAATCGTACCATATTACATAAACTACATCTCTTTGTATTAAACTATAAATTAATAAAAAAATGATAGAAGTATGTAAACATATAAAAAATAAACTTAAGTGTTTACATGATCATGCTCATACAAGAGAATATTCTCTTTACGCTTCGTTCCCCATTTATATTTGTTACTGCCAGATTTACCTACTACGCGATGGCATGGCACCAAATAACCAATATTATTTTTCATGACCGCATTTCCAACAGCTCGTACAGCTTTTGGGTTATCTATATTACACGCAACTTGTTCGTAAGTAACAGTTGTACCATGTGGAATAAGCATCAAGGCTTTCCAAACTTTTATTTGGAACTGTGTACCCTTCATGAGAACAGAAATAGAATCATCCACAGTTACACATCGGGAAAAGATTTTTTCTATAATTTTGTTTGTTTCGTTCGAGGTATCTTCGACCAATTTTGAAAGAGGCCAATCGTTCTTTAATTCATTCAAAGCTTCTTCATTATTTTTATCAACAAAAGCCAAATGAATAATTGCCTTGTTAGTGTTAGTAATGCCAATTAAGCAATCCCCAAAAGGTGTAGTATGAAAACCATGGATTATCTTAAAATTTTCATGCTTTTCTTTATACTCTTGTGGTGTCATACTTTGAAACCGAACCATTATGATTATTTAAATTATTCAAATCTGTAGATACTAGGAAAATAAAGAAATAAAAGTTATTAGAAGGTAATATGTTTAGAATGTTTAGATGTTAGCTGACACTCTTAAGGTGCATCTCCAGTCATATCAATGATTTGACACATGCAGATATATCTTTCACCATAATTATATATATTATGTTTGCATACACTATGGTCGTATACACTAGTTGTATTGTCTTTTTCGCACTGCTTGATTTGCATCCTACCCTTAATTCACAATTATGCAATCTATATAACTACCTATGTCTCCACATCTCCTATGACACCACTGTATTTAAATGTTGTTCGTGGGCTGTTTGTCAATTTGTTATAAGAAGTAATTATTTCATGAAAAGATCGAATAGCGGTTACAAAACCATCACAAAAAAAATTTGTTAACTGTTCCAGAGGATGAGTACCCGCCTTTACTATCCTTGGAAATACTGTGGATGTTTATGGAAAATGTAAGAGTGTAAAATTGTACAATAAATATAAGACAAAATATATGAAATATTCAATATTTAAGAGATAAAACAAATTTCATTAATTCTGTTTATTAAAATACGGAATTACATAAACATCCACAATCTATAATGTTCTTATATAGGCTTTTGGCATCAAGTGAAGACTTGGAATACAAGTTCCAAATTTTAAACTCAAATTTTGTTCATACTAGAATGCTTCAAATTAATTATTTAATTATTATTTAATAATTATTTAATAATTATTTAATGAATATTTATTGAAACGCTACTACGTGGTTGATATGTGAATTATTTCGAAGAATTAGGACATTCACCGCCAGGCAAATTTAGAACATCTTGCCCTGGATGCCAAGACTTTATTTTAAAGAAAACATGGCATTTCACAAATCTATATATTATTATATAAATATCATTATATAAAATTTTCGTTCATCCTTTCTAATAATTCCTAACAACTTATTCTGATTATTAAAAATACATAATTATTAAATAAATAAAATAATATAAAATATCTGTTATAATATATTTAAAATAATTAAAATTGGTTTGGCTTTCTATTTTTAATATTATTACTTAGAATAATATATTAAAAATAATAGTTCTATGCAATGAAACCATATGTAATTATTCTTTCAGCTTATGATTCATCAACGTAATCATATTCCAAAAAGAAATTAATTATGATTATTAATAATGGGCATGTTTGTTTATTTTATTCTATTTAAGATACCATAGTTAAAAAATTTATTATTTACAAAGACAATATCATACAGAAACAGAAATTTACAACATTTCAAGCCGCGTGAAGAAGGTATAGGAAGTATAGACCACGGACGCCATGTTGAACAAGTGGACTTCGTAAAAAGGGATGCAAATAAATAACGAGATCTCTTCTTTTCTATGTATATTAATAATATTTTAGTATTTATTAGGAAGGAGAGAAATTATGTTAAATGTCTCTATCTCTTTTTCAACGAGGACATCTTCATTTGACAACTGTGGTTTATACTTCTTACATCTATGGCGAAGAGAATAAAGTAAGATTTATACAAATATACAAGAATACTTTATGTAATCGTCCAATGAAACATGAACGATTATTTCATCACACGTTTAATTACGTAAGATTTGATTTCATGAAAATTCGCGTTGGGATTAACATTAAAAAATACTTTACGCGCTTTCGCGTCTGCTATTAATGAATTCCACATTGGATACCTCTGTAATCAACAAAAAAAAATCATTACATATTTAATTATGCAATATATCAACTATTTTTGTATTATAAATGCATATTATATTATATAAACAAGTTTTTCAAAAACAGCGAGAAACTATTGGACAAAAAGAATAAACTCTAAGCCAAATGTTATTTTTCCATTGCTAGCCTTTAAAATCCTTCTTTGATGGTTTTGATGTCTTTTTAACATAGGACTGTTTGTTTTGAATTGTTGTAACACTTTTGTGAAAAGTTGTGACACTTTTGAAATATGTATACAATATACATAAATATTTTTTAAATGCAGATAATATTATATAATCTTACCATGAAAATGTTAAAGTTACCACATATTATCAGGCTGTGTTTTGCTCTTGTAAGTGCAACACAAAGTCTTTGTCTATCTGATAGAAAGCCAATCTTCTGACTCCGCACACATGACAAAATTATCACATCACATTCTTGACCTTGAAAACGATCTACAGTGTCCACAATATATTTTATTTTTCTCTTAACATTCTCTGGCAACGAAGATATTCTAAGACAATAAAAAATCAACATGCAACAATTAATTCAGATGATATTTAGAATACACTCCCATTAAATGCTACAACTTACTTTTCATTAACTTTAGTCAATATCATAGATCTTTGATTATTATATGGTGTAAGAATTCCGCACGAAATGCATGATTGCCAATTATCCAAATTGGCAAAGTTTAGCATACAATAAATAATATTAGCTACAAAATCTGCTTCTTCATTGTTTGAGTTATCATGATTCTGATTTGTAACCAAATTTAAAATTCGATATGAATGGAATGGAAAGTTATCATTGCATTCTACTGCATTCTTTAATTTACAACCATAGAAGAACTTATTTGGCCAAGAGGAAATATCAGGTTGCATTCGATATTGAGTGTCTAGCATAATTATGGGATTATTTGGTTGTAAATCAAAGGCGCTTTGCACTCGAGAAAAGATCGATTGATCCAACCCATATTTCTTTGCCCGTGTACTCAGAACAGTAGCTGGTAATTGATTATGATCACCAACTAAAACCAATGTATCTATTCCTAACATCAATGGTATCAAGGTTTCTGCCTCGCAACTTTGAGTAGCTTCATCCACAATACACACAGATATCTTTTTCTTATTAACACCAAAAATATACTCCATTTGACTAGTATAACAGGATGAGAGGGTGCAGGTTATTATGTCTGCAAAGTCAAGAATTTTGTATTCTGCCGCACGCTGCAATCTAATGCTTTCTCTGCTTTTATCATTTACTTCGTTCGTTGATGTACGATTCTTTAGTAACTCGTATTTTGCAGACATATCTGCCAGTTTCATCCTAACATGGTCTTTATGAGTTTTATCCAAATTATTTGAGTTCAGCTTACATTGAAGGGCGTTAATCTTAGATTGTAAAAATAATTTTTCACTTTCTATACTATCGGATGGAACAGTGTTCGACTTGCATGTTTTTTTAATTTCTCGTTTCGCCAATTCAGTAATAGAAATATCTTTCACTTTTGAATGCATCATTTGTGATTGCCCAATACGAACCATCCTAAATGGTTTTATCTTTGCCTGCTTTTTAATCATGGTTCTAATTTCTAATAATCTTAAGACAATGTCATCAATGGCTGCATTTGATGGAGCACAAACTAACATAGTAAAAGAACTTCCATTGCTTGTATATCTGTTATTTCCATACAAAATTTGAGTAACTATATTTACAATAACTTTCGATTTTCCAGTTCCAGGTGGTCCTTGAATAAAACACAATTTGGTATCTTTTTGGATTACTGCTTTGGTTATTTTACTTACAGCTTCCATCTGTTTCTCATTTAATTTATCTCCTGTGATCAATGTCTCTAATTCAGAAACAGTTGGCAACTTGTACATCTCGATTCTTGGACATAAGATTAAGTTTACTAATGGCGATTTAGGGAGAAATTGCAATGCTTGTACCATTCGTAAATTAGGACGTAAATAAAATGCAGCTCTTAATCGTTGAACTCGATTCACTAGAATATTTTTATCGAGGTATTTTGTTATCACACTATATGTTAACAATGTATGAGCATCTTTTACGTAATTTTGTAAATCTCTGTTAAAATGTGTCAGAGGCGTTAATACTGTTGTGTGTACGTTAGTAACATATGCGAACACTTTACGAAAATCTTTTGATTTTTGTGAGTTTTCGTGACTTTGAACATACTCAAAAAATACAAGGTCCCCATACTTAGGATGAATTTGCTTTTGTATATCGTCCTTTGTGGCTAATACTTCTACCATCAATGTTGTAAGAAGTATATTATTTGGCTCCACATTCGTCTGAATAGAGTTTTTAACTATAGAGCACATGAATGTGGGCCGTCTGTGTATATCCTCTATGCTCTGAAATTTGTTTGTGATATTATGCCAAATTTCCAGCAACAAAAGCGAACTTATAGTATTATAATATTCATCATACGATCTATAATGAGTTAAGGTAGGGTTAAGTTCTTCAGGCTGAATAACAGGTGGATCTTGATTCAAATATAGCTGTTCTTCCAACCACACTGGTTTCCAGCATAAGATGCGGCATAAAAATTGGTTCATTGTATTGATCTTTTCTCGACGTACAGGAGCATCTTTTCCTGTCAGTTTTTTTAAAACATTTGATTCATCAATTTCATATTCACGAACAGTTTGAATCTCTGTAGAAAAAGACACTCGTTTCTTCGAATTTGGTTTTACAGGTGACTTAAGACTTGACTTAAGAGGTACAGAAGGTCCCCTTTCCACTGTCTTACAAGATTCTAAGCTTGGTTTACCACTTACTGCAGTATCTTTCGATTTAATTGTTTTCTCTGTTTTTTCTTCCAATGAAAGATCTTTTAATGCTGTTTCTTCTTCTACAACATTTATTTTTATTTTAGTATTATTAGATTTTTTAGGAATTTTTCCCAAATTCGAAATATCATTAAGAATTAATTTATGCTGTACTTCCATTGCTATTTCTTTAGAGACATTTTTACGTTTTGTTGAATCAATCGTTTTTGCATTTGAAGAAGTTCTATTTGCTGTTGCGGATCGACTAGACGAAGCTTTAGACTCCTCTGTTACAATTTCCTCTCTAGATGCAGCGATCGTCTCCTCGACAAGGAAATCGTTTCGGGACTTTGTCGTTACTTTCGCTTTTGGTTTAGAAACAATACGTTTCTTTTCTTGATTACCTTCTAAAGATACCCGGTTTTCTTCGGCAATTTTCTTCAATTTCATCTTTCTATTATCTGCCAATGCTTTCTTCTCTTCCTTAGAAAGAGTATTTAATTTCTTTGTACTAGGGGGAAGACAACTGGCCCATTTGTGAAGTACTTTACGATTCTTTTGCTCCTTTGCATGCATATATTGCTCTAACTTCGACTTTTCTTGTTGTTCTTTCTTTTCTTTAGCACTTAATCGCGGTTTCGAAGGTTTTTCAGATTTTTCAGAATTTCCAGATCTTACAGATTTATCAGACTTTTCAGGGATTTGTTTATCTTTATTAGAAACACTTCTTCGTCTTCTGGAGGTAGGTAAGTGTGGAGGTTCGATTTGAGGCACCTTCTTCTCAATCGACTTTTTGCTCTTGGTAGGTGTAATAGTTCCTATTTTACTCAAGGGGTGAATATAATTTCCTGCCTCTTTTTGCACTGGAGACAAACTCTGATTTTTCGGAGACTTAGAATGTTTTTTAGTATCACTAGTAGCGCTCGTGAATTGTTGAAGTAAAGTATTTTCTGGTGAAAATACTTTATTTAAATTGTCCATGTCCTGCAAAGACGAGTTCTCTGCTTCTTTTTCTTCGTCTATGGTTGCTCTAGGAACTAACTCATTTGGTAGCTCTTCATTAGTTTCGATTAATTCAAACTCGCTTACAATTGGTTCCTTAGTTACGACATTTATATCTATATCTTCTTTTTTTACACCATTCTTACTTTTCAGATGAATTTCATCGTTTTCGCTGAATATTTGACTTCGGGATAATCTGTAAAACCAATTCTTATCTTCTTCATCTTCACTATCTGTTATTGAAATAACAAAATCCACATCATCTATACCAAATCTCTCACTTTCTACTTCTGTAGGTTGTTCCTCTTTTACCTCATCTTTCATGGTTGTGTTCATACCATAGCCAATATCAAACAGTTGGGAGCACGGGAAAATATCATCCTCACTATCGCTTAAGTTTATAACATCGTCCTCTG